GTCCATGTGCATGCCCTACGCGTGTGTTTGCTTTCACGTGCAGATGACTGGGGGTGGCAGGGTTGCTTTTAAATTTGTTTTTAATTTTAATTTATCATTTTTTAACACTTTTCAACTTTTTTCACTTAACTTTATTGCTATGACAAGGGGGCTAACAAGCTCCTATGTGATAGCATTGGCAGGTGACAGGTTCTATTTATGAAGACATCAGGGGTCCATTCTGACACCATTTGCTCTAGTCCCGGGCCCCCCAGAGGAGTGGGAGAGAAGGGGGGGAGGGGGAGGGCAGCACCTACAGAGTCTGGAGCAAGTGATCAGGAGGCTCTGGGCCCCCGTGATCTTGGTATTACCACTTCAGGATGATACATATGGGGGTCCTGAAGTGGTTAACACTTGTATAGTTAATCAGAATATATGTGAGTTCTAATACGGGGGGGGGGAGTTGTGTGTGAAGGATAAAGGTTGGGGTTGTCCGGGAGGTTCAGGGGGTGCTCCCATCATACAACAATCTCAAACAATGCGTCAAGTTCTAGAATGGAAGACGACGTACCTGTCCCTCTGCGTGCTCCTGCAGTCACTGTGTCTTGCAGCAAACTGTTCACTATAACTGTCCTCTGTAGTGATGGAGTTTTTTACACTCGCTCTGTGCAGATGTGCCCCGTCCCCAGTGCAGTGTGGGTAACTGCCTGTGACCGTTTTACCTCAGTCTGCGCTCTGCAAGTTGCTTAACCCTTTCCAGCAAATATAACAGCTGGGGACTTTTACCACACAAGAGCTGAGGGGGGAGAACAAAGCACCTGCGTTGTGAATGAGGCTCAGTTACAGTTAGAGATAGCATGAAAACCTTTATTATATACTGTTTATATTTTTTAGGACCTATTCACACCGGAGCATTGTGCTAATCACACGTTACCTTGCGTTTAGCGCACACTAGTGTGCGGTACTGTGCGTTGCTAATTATTTCAATGGCACCTCCTGACGGGTAAAAAAATGAGGGCATGCACTACTTTTTTTTCGTTCAGTATTGCAGTAGCACATGTTGTGCTGCAACGCATGCCCCTCTGGGAGGTGCGTTGGGTTGTCACTGAAATGAGTCGCAATACACCTAGTGCCTGGCACGGCATGCTAGGTGTGCTGTGCAATAGCGTGCGCTAAGCGCAGGGATTTACTCTCCCTGCCACCCCAAGGCCAGGCTCTGCGATGCGAATGGCAACCAGATGGCGGGGTTAGTGTCAATTTTTTTTACTGTTTCTTTATTTTTTATTTTTTTTATTTAATTTTTATATTTAATTTATTAATTTTTTTTTGTAATCAATGTATTTTTTTCCCCCACCTAACTTTATAGCTATCACAATGGAGAAAACAGTCCCCTGTGGGATAGCAATGTGAGGTGACAGGTTCTCTTTATAGACCCTGTCACCTCCCATACGGGAGTTCTAGCACAGCACTGTGCTGGAACTCCTGTGACAGGTGAGAGAGGAAGAGCACAGCTCTCCCTTCTCACTGTGTACACGGAGCGGCAGGGTTACTTTTAACCCTGCCGCTCACTGCAGTGAGGAGACGGACTCGGCGGCGGAGCCCGGGGGACGGAAGCAGAGGAGAGAGGTAAGTGCAGGGGGGAGGGGAGGCTACACACTGTTTACATGTGATCTCGGAGACATCGCCGAGTTCACATGTAAACGTAAAATCTGCTGCCTCACTCTACATTTAGTCCTGCTTGTACAAAGCAGGACTGAATGTAGAGAGGGCAACTTCCCCACAAGGACATCGCTGCCGCCCCTCTGCGCCCTGCCGCCCCGAGGCCGGGTCTCGGTGGCCTTGTGGGGAATCCGGGCCTGCTATTAGCGCAGCGCTCTGGTGTGAATGGGCCCTGAGGACCCTTTCACACTATTGCAGTGCCAAATAAATTGAAATGGGCAGTCAAAGCAACATATCACATGCAGAAAGTATCCATAACTGTGCATTGCGGTGCACTATGCTGCAGGTGCGTTTTTACCCTCTGGATATGAGCGTTGGGGTGCCCGCACGGCAACACTAAATACCTGTACATTAAACTGGCGAAATGCAATTTTTACCACGTGTTGGTGCAATGTTAGAGGGAAGGGAGAATGTAACTATGAAAAACCTCATTAGCCCCTAACTGCCAGCTTCTGCCAACCCTTTAAGAATTTCTTGACACCGGAGGTCAGTAGGCAGGCTCCTGATTATGTGTTGGTGCAATGCTGAATTCGTCCTAATTTTCTAGATGGTTGGGAAGGGAGAATGTACGTTAGCTATGAAAAAACCTTATTAACCCCTTGCCGCCAGGTCCCGCCGGTCCTGTAAAGGGTTCTTTACACTGGAGGTCAGTAGGCGGCCCCTGATCATGCGATCGCTGTAATTGGCTATCACAGTGGCCACACAGTTGACCAAGTGGCTGTCATAGATGACCGAGCTATCATTGAAAGCTCCTGGTCACTGTTTACGATCAGGAGCTGGTAGGGTGGGCTCTTGATCGTAAACAGTGATCTGGAGCTTTCCATGATAGCTCGGTCACAGTGCTGGAATGCTGCGCCAAGTGAATCCAATAGAAATCTAGGGGGCTTTAATGTGCAGGCATAGCCAGGAGATGGAAGTAGATGACCCCAATAGATGTCTATGGGACTGTAATGTGCAGGTGTGGCCAGGAGATGGAAGGAGATGACCCCAATAGACTTCTATTGGGTTGTAATGTGCAGGCATGGCCAGGAGATGGATGTAGATGACCCCAATAGAAGTCTATGGGACTGTAATGTGCAGGTGTGGCCAGGAGATGGAAGGAGATGACCCCAATAGAAGTCTATGGGGCTGTAATGTACAGGGGTGGGCAGGAGATGGAAGTAGATGACCCCAATAGAAGTCTATGGGACTGTAATGTGCTGGCATAGCCAGGAGATGGAAATAGATGACCCCAATAGAAGTCTATGGGGCTGTAATGTACAGGTGTGGGCAGGAGATGGAAGTAAATGACCCAATAGACATCTATGTGGCTGTAATATGCAGGCATGGCCAGGAGATAGAATATTCTTCATCTAACTTATCGGACCCCTGGGTTTTTTTTTTTAAGATTGGCCTTAAAGCTGACTCAAAAAGTCCTATGTGTGAGGTAGAAACTGACTCTTTAATACATTTGCTCTGGCATTGCCCAAAATTAGTAAAATACTGGCAATTCGTAGTTCATACTATTACCTCAATTTTTTCTGTTAAAGTTTCCAATAGTCCCCTTATATGTTTTCTTGTTGTGTTTAACTGTTTGGAATGGGATCCTTGTACTGTGTGCTCGCTGTGTCAAGAGCATTATTTGCTGCACATCGGGTTCTTGTGCTTAACTGGCTGGCCACTACTCTGCTTTCTATGGAGGAATGGGTTGCAGAACTCAATCGTTTAATAAAATATACTTCTGCCGCAGCTCACAGCGCTCTCGTCCTGACTCCTGCAGCGCTCGGCGGCTGTCACTTTCTTTTCTCCCCGCTGGAACAGCACCCAGCGGAGAGAAAAGAAACCAGGGATGACCCGATGTATCGGCCGAAACATGGCTCTTTCGGCATTATGCCAAAAGTGCCATTTTCGGCCGATATGTTTCGGCGGCCGATATATCGGTGCATCCCTAGTATTTACAATAATTTTTTTCTTAATTGCTGAAAATATAGAATCTTGTAAACCGTACCGTGACAGCGCTTTATTTTGAACTTTTCGGCACTGTTTTTGCTACAGTAGTGGAATAACATCAAATCAAGCCCTTGGTGTCTTCACCCACAGACGTGTTGTGTTAACCGCTATGAACTGAAACTTGAAAAACAAGAGGATAAAAACACACATTTCCTTCCTCAAAACACCAAAATTTACATATAAACCACCAAAGCTCTGCGGTTAGTGTGGTCTGCGTGTTGAGCCCCATGGGGCAGCAAATGTAGCACCGAGATATCTGGAAGGATGCTTCGGACAGGAGAAGGAAAACACTTCATGTTGTTTTTGGGAAAGGGTAGTAGACCTTGTTAGAATTTAAAAAACGCTTTAACTTAAAGGTGCACTAAAGTCAAAATAGAATATGAAGCCTTGAGGTAGCGGTGATGGGCTACAGTACCCATATGTCTGATTTTTCTTCCAGGCGTAGTTGTAGATCCCCTAACCCAGGCCACATCGTATTTAAAGTAGAACCAAGCCCGAACCAAAGCCCTGTGTATTATAAACAAGTGCTGTGACTTTTGTTTCATAAAATACTATTTTTATCTTTTATTTCATCTTTTCTTTTCCATCTCAGTGCTGATGATCTTTTCCAGCCCCTTTCAGCCACTTCCTGTCTACATGCACTTACTACAGCTCTGGCTGCACATCATTGCCCTGGACCATGCCTGGACAATGTGTTTCGGTACTGCCACTTGTATCCACCAAGGGCGCCTGTGACCGGGTGACAAAGCAGGAGTACCATTGGGAAACCGTTGTCACCCTTAACAGGAAGTGTCTGCATTTGGAGCCCACATGTGATGCTGAGCATCCATGATTGAAAGGACTAAAATTGAAGGACTGAAATGGGCGGGCCAGGGGCACCCAGGCGGGAAGGAAATGGCGAGAGGATGCTTGACATCCTCCAGCCAGGAAATGAGGCAGGCTCTATCTGACTTGCTGCACATTGTGAGAAGCTCACAGTGTGCAGTGGAATCAGAGGAAGCAATTTCAGTCCAGGAGAGGAGCCGGTACAACTGTGCAAGTCTGAAGGGAAGGCCGGAGTTCAGCTTTGGTATTCAGGTTTAAAATTGGACCACTGATCAAAGAAAACCCATGACTGATTATGCAAACGTGCGCCATTGCCCATAGCAACCAAACCAATTTTGATTTTCATTGATGACAAGCAGAATGCTTTAAGCAACAGCTTTAGTTTTGCTTCAGTTTGCACAAATCAGCTCCTTGATGTCAGGCAGAAATATGATTTGTTGTAGAAATAAACCATTTTTTGTTTGTTTAGGTCTTTAGGAGTTTCCACAATGCCGAGTTCCTGTGACAAATCCCCCGAGGTGACACAAGAGGATATGGCCTGCACTGTTCTTAAAAGGTTTGTTGACGTCCCAGAGCAGACCTATGAAGACTTCCTAACAACATTCACCCATCTTCCTCAAGGTAAGCTTCATTCACATCAGAATGATCTTTGAGATCATTTGTTGGAGTAAGGCCTTGTTCCGGTAAGGTTTCCGCGCACGCACGCTAGTCTTTTAGATGCGTTTTTGACGCGTTTTTGATGTGTTCCTGGCTCTTTTTGGTAAAGAAAAAAAATAATTAAGTTTTAAATGGGCTTTCAGTGCGTTCCAGGCATTTGCATGCATTTTAGATGCGTTCCAGAGCAGGTAAAATAGGGCCTGCTGCAGTGTTTTCACCTGCTCTGGATCTGCTCTGCAACTGCGCGCTGCGATGTGAACTGGAGCAAACAATTACATTGGAATACATTGGACGCAGTTTTGATCCGGTCTGCAACTGATCTGCTCTGCATCTGCTCCGCGCTTGGTGTGAACCAGGCCTTAAAGTAGAACTGAATCCAAATCTGTTCAATAGCCACAAGAGGAAGTGAGAGAAAATCCTGCCAAAGTGAGGAAAATTCCTGGTGGTCACCAGTACTACTGTCCCCCATTGGAAGATTTCCCATCTATTCTATGAAAACCCAAAATTTGGGATTTTCTTTCAGTGATGAAGGTCAGCAGGACAAATAAGAGGGTGGATCTCTCTAATGGGGACATAGACAGCAATAAAACCTAACAGATGTTCTAATCCATTTCCACTCCATCTAAAACAAAAATGTTGGCATTAATTCTACGTTAAAGCCAATCTCCAGGCACGATAACAAAGTATGTGCGCAATGGCCATCTTGTGGCTCACCTGGAACCCGCTCTGCATTCTTCAATAGTACCTCCTGTGACCATAAATTCAGCATCAATAACGCCCCTGATTGCATTTCCCTTTCTTGCAACTGGCTGCCACCGCTATTTCTTGTGTAGGGTAACCAGTCGTGTAACAGCCCCTTGTGGTCCTCATTCTGCAGCGCCAATGTCATACCTAGACTGGGTGGATGCTTTCTTCAGATCCTCCTCCATCTTGCCAAGCCATGAATGCCCATCTCATTTGATGGACAGTTCATGCAAACTACAAACTAGTCTGTGCCTTACAACCACAAAATCCATTCACCACTGGGGTTTTACCTATAGCCCCCGGAACTCTGTTTGCATGTTTAAAGCCGACAATTCTGCCCCTCCTGCGACCCCGGGACCAGCATCATGGATGTCGGCGTCATTTTCGCTCCTTCAGCTGTCATTGCTCGGCGGCAGAAGCCAGGCAAGAAGCTGGTGGAGCACAATCTGCACTCCAATAGCTTTTTTGGAGTGGAAAGGTGTCTATTAGACCCCTAGTGTCACCTTAAAGAGTACCTGTCACCACTAATATCCTATCACATAGGGGGCTTGTATGGGATTCCTGCGGCAGATCCTTCCAGCAGAAATGCCAGGTGTGTCTGTACAGATGCGGCTGCTGTGCCCATTCAAGTTCATGAAAGGCTGACAGTGGCCGCATCTGTCAGCGGCAGTCCGCATGTAATAGTACATGGTATGATGTGGTTCGGGATAGATGATTGTCTCTGGGTGCAGACAGTAAGCAGTGGTCAGTAAGGAGTCCATCACATTTTAGGGAATAAGAAAGAATATAAGACATCAAAACATAATATGCATTTTGTGCCTAACAAGGATTGCATCTGATTAATAAAAGTGTGTCCTACGATGACTTAGTTTTTAGCAATTCTGCCTTGCAGCACTGGGGTCCCTGGTTCGAATCCAGGTTTGGCCAGCACACTATCTGGAGTTTGTTTTTTCTCCCTGTGCTTGCATGGGTTTCCTCTCGCATGTCAAAGCCATGCTGGTAGGTTGATAGCTTCCTGTCTTCCTCTCCCAGTCTGAACTCTGCTGTACTGGGACTGCAAGAAGCTGATACCAGGTCACATTCAGGTACTTACACTGCTTGTCGATTAAAAAAAAAAAAAAAAAGATTTACCGAGCTGCATTGGTTTGAGTCTTTTCTATCTGCCCGGAGTTCAGCTTTAAGGCCAGTTCTTGGAATGCATAGAACGGAGAGAGCAGCGGGTAGAAAGTTGTGGTTTCATTGTCTGATCATGCGGAGTCCCCTGAGAATATTTAAAGCTGTTTTTTGGTTTACAGCCCACTAGATAACATCTGCTCCTTCTAGCTCCGCGTGTTATTGTTTTGCCAAGCATGCATCAAAGTACTGGAAAGACTGTGCTGCCCGAAGTACAAAAACATCTCTGAGATTGTGACTTTTAACTGCAGCACATCAATACACAAAGAAATAGAAGGAGCAGCTACAGAAATCTGTCCTCACAGAAATGTTTCATGTTATTTACAGAGCACACATTTCAGTTCTATGATTGCTGTAAGCACTGATGATGAATTACTACACAGTGTCTATAGCTGCAGAGGTCAGTGAGAGCTTTTTTAATGTATTTTTTTTTTAAAGGAGAACTATGGGGTTAAGGCTTTTTCCCATAGTTCTCCTTAGGGTAACGGGAGGACACAAACTAGCGTCCTCCCGTCACCCTGGGCTCAGTATACCGCGAGCTGTAGCTCGCGGTATACTGAGACGCCGCAGCTGAAGCGGATCCCGACAATTATGCCGGGATCCGCCCAGCTGCGTGACTGACAGCTGGCTCTGCCTATCTAGAGGATCTCAAGATGCCTATCTAGAGCATCTCAAGTTAAAGTATTCACACAATATAAGATTCTATAAGCCTTCCATTTTCAAATTCCATTTTGATGGGATGCGGAAACTGCAGTTTTGTTTTATTCACAGCGGCCTTAGAAAATAAATTTTTCCCAAAACTTTTTACTGTAGGAGAGGCTTTTTTTTGTTATACCGGGACCCCATGTCGGGTATAAAGAATTATACAGATATTCTAAAACTAAAGGACGAGAATCTTTTCACCGCGGAATAAAAATGACTGTCGTAAGATCCTTAACAATCCTTTTGTTTCAGCGATAAGCTCGTAAAGGAGCCTATCTCTCTTGGGTTCCATCTCTCTATCCCCTTCTGTAAAGCCTCATGGGGCGCTTACCAAAAAGGTATTCTATGCGCCTTTGTGCACTTATAGGAGAATCGGGCTCCACATGAAAAGTAGGTGAAGAGGGCACCTAGGAAAAAGAAAAAAAAAGCATCAGCCGACATGAAGGGAAGGAAGAGAGCCGTCACCGACTCAGCCGGCGATTAGCGATTGATGTTGGCGTGAGGCATTGGGATTGAGGCAATAAGCTTCAGAATTGTCTCTGTTCCAGGGACGCCGTACACCTCATTTGAATGAAAGATTCCCTTTTATTATTTGATGTGAAGAGCTAAATTTAAAGACCGCGGGAGTTTTTTTTTTTTTTTTTCCGTCTCCCGTTCAATCTTCAGAGGAATATTATTTTCACACCTGATTCATATTCGGCTGTGAGGGTGTGAGGGGCTAGCGCTGACCAGATGTCTCTTTGTCTTCACAAAAAAGAGCAGAGGCAGGGATGAAAGTTTTATGAGGATCTCGGCAGAAGGGAACTAGCGGCGCTAGAACGCAGGGGGGGGGCGGAGGGAGATCTCACAGGAGCATGAAACATTCATCACTGCCTTTGTGTCCTACCTGGTGTCATCCCTTCAGTGGTTAATTCCAGCAGGTTGTTTGATCAAGCACTTCGCGGACGTAGCATGAAAGCGTTGGAAATATTAAAAAAATGGCTAGTTTTAGGTTGGGGTCGCAAAGTCACTGGAGGGTCAGTGAATTGGCAACTGTGAGATGTCTCCGGTTGAGCCTATGCAGCATGTTTGGCTGTTGGAGGCAAATGTAAAGTATATGTAAACCCAATTATTAAAATCTCATATACAGGTGAAACTCGAATAATTAGAATATCGTGCAAAGTTCATTTATTTCACTAATGCAACTTAAAAGGTGAAACTAATATATGAGATAGACTCATTACATGCAAAGCAAGATAATTCAAGCCGTGATTTGTCATAATTGTGATGATTATGGCTTACAGCTCATGAAAACCCCAAGAACCCCAAATCCACAATCTCAAAAAATTAGAATATTACATGCAATCAATAAAACAAGGATTGTACATAGAACAATATCGGACCTCTGAAAAGTACAAGCATGCATATGTACTCAGTACTTGGTTTGGGCCCCTTTTGCAGCAATTACTGCAATTACTTTTGCACGATATTCTAATTATTCGAGTTTCACCTGTATGTTAAAGACCAACTCTGGGCTCATCCTTCCAGTCCCCAATCTCCACCACCACCCTAGAAGCCCCCTGTGGTTATTTTTTTATATATTGCCTTATCCAAAAATCTTCTGTCCAGTCATGTGATGCGTTGGGTGTCGTGGATCCACCCCCAAGGAGGCATCACCACAATGCCTTGCTTTGAAATACAATGATGCAGAGAGTGGTGCTGACGCCATTAAATCAGATGGATCTTCGAATCTTTTATTAACTTCCTTTGATACAAAGGGCAGCGCTGATATGATGACATCAGCACCACTCCCTGCATCACTGTATCTCAATGCAGGGCATTGTGGTGATGCCCCCTCAGGGGCGGGTCCAAGACACCCTACAGTTAAAAAATGTCCATAGTCTCAATGTGATTATATGCTCCTACATGTATAGGTTGATATATACTTTATTGCTCTGTAAGCTTGCTTTGATTTGCCCCCTGCTCTGTTCTACCTTCACCCTTCGCTCCCTACCCCACCTTCATTTTCCTTTTTTTCTTCCATTGGTTACATGTAGTTATTTCAGGTAACCAAATCAAGTCCAATAATTCCGGTACTGTTAGCAGGAAGAATCCATAGTGGACAACAATAACTTTATTGTTTCTCCATCAGGTGATCATTGGCCTTGTTTAGATGACACAGTGGCTTAGTGGTTCGCACCTCTGCCTTGCAGCACTGGGGGTCCCTGGTTCAAATCCCGGTCAGGACACTGTCTGCAAAGAGTTTGCATGTTCTCCTTGTGCTTGTGTGAGTTTCCTCTGGGTACACCGGTTTCCTCCAACACTCCAAAGACATGTTGGTAGGCTCCTGTCTAAATTAGCCCTAGCATGTACATATAGTGTACAGTATGCATGCCAGGTGGGGAAAATAGATTGTAAGCCTTGAGGGAAGGGACTGATGTGTATGTTGTCGGCGCTCTATATGTATATTTATAATGGTGCCTATTTTTAGCATTATTTTTTCATTGATCAGCATTTATTGTACCTCAATACTGGTCTACTGTGCTCCCCAATGCCTGTACACTGGATTGACAATGTATACCTGTGACAATTTAATAAAGAATGCAAAGTCCGCACATTCAGTAGTGTTGTTGGTACCTTAGAAAAGTCATAGTCCAGGCCGGCTTCTCTTCAGATCTTTTCATGCTATTTGTTTTTCGGCAGAGAGACGAGATTGCCCGATCCAGACTGATGACTCACAAAATCATTGTTCCGCTTTTGAGAACACACCAGCTAGGAGAAGGTCCGAAGACGTCGCTGATAGAGGTGAAGTGGAGGAACTGGAGCAGGTACGTGTTCACGACCAGTGTCATCCTTGTCCTTTTTATGCTTGTTCTATGTAATTCAATCCAATCTAGTTTCTCATATGCACTAGCTTTGGTTGAAGGAGAACTATGAGGTGAGTGCTTTTCACTCACCTCATAGTTCTAACCGACCTGTAACAATGAGACTGTCACAGGTTGGTTCAGTAGATCGGGAGGTGAGCGAACACATACCGGCGTTCGCTCACCTCTCGATCCTGTCACGGCTCTCTGCCGTGACAGGGGAGGGGCTGGATTCCCCCCTCCCCGCTCCGATCCGCCAGCGCTGACTGGCGGAACGGACGGGGGAGGGGGCGGGTACAGCTGGCTCTGCCTCTAGATAGGCAGAGCCAGCTGTCAGTCATGCAGCTGGGCGGATACCGGCACAATTGTCGGGATCGGCTTCAGCTGCGGCGTCTCAGTATACCGCATGCAGCAACTCGCGGTATACTGAGCCTAGGGTGACGGGAGGATGCTAATTTGTGTCCTCCCATTACCCTAAGGAGAACTATGGGGAAAAGCCTTAACCCCATAGTTCTTTAAGTAAAATTGTTTTGTGCCTTTTTATTGCCTGGAATCAAACTGCCTCTTTCCATGTCCATGTGTCTGGCTCTATTCGCACGTGTAAAACCCTAATAAAACCCGCTGACCCAATGTCTATTGGCATTGAAGACCCTGTATGTACATCGGTAAAAAACTGGCTACAGGAATCCAGGGGGCAGAGATAAGCAGCTCATTTTCTAAAATGGTCCAAAGTCATAAGTGGCATGCTCCAGGGTTCGGTCCTGGGACCAGTTCTGTTTATCTTCTTAAAAAACAACATAGAGATTGGAATAAATAGCTCATGCTCAGTGTTTGTTGATGATACCAAGATATGTAGAGCAGTAGCTTCTCAACAAGAGATAGAATCACTGTAGATGTATAAACCTCTGTGCAGTGTATAGCTGGACAAATGCCATTCACATGCCATAAGGCCACTAGATGGAGTCGGGGAGTATAGGGAATTTCGGTGCTCCTTTGCTTCATCTAGTGGGGGTAGTGCTGTGTGAACGCCATTCGCTTAGCTATTCGCTGGACAGAAGTTAAATACATCGGCTCTAAGTGTGGGATTTGCAGTTTTCTAGCTGACACAATGTCATGTAGAGTTCTATTTTTTGCCTGAAACTTGCAAAACAATTAACAAAGTAAGAAAAAAAAGTGTTTGTTTATCAGTAAACTGGAATGATTCCTTTTTTTGGCTTTCACAGCTGGTTATCAGTGAAGGAGAAACCGTAGGATGTTGTCACAGCCTTATGCGTTCAGGAAGGGTCCAGGTAAGCTGCACAGCCTATTCGATATATACCAACTAAAGTCCCCCTGCCTCCTAATTGTGCTTCCAAGTTGTCACTCGGGCATCCGATCACGACTACAAGTGGCTGTTTCAAAATGCGTTACGCAGTCAAGGTCCACTGTTGTCACCATCGGGAAACCCGTGCAGCCATCACTGGAGTGTATATAAACAGGAAGTGGCTACAAATTTACTGCAGAAGATTGACCGCACTAAGATGCAACAAAGGATGATAATAACTATGTTTTATTTTTAAAAATGGCATTTGATTATGATACACAGTGCTTTAGCAAGCTAACCATCATCCAGTTAGGGTTTAGATCTACTTTATTAAATATTTTAATCCTAACAATAGACTTCTCTTATTTGCTCCATTTGGCCTGAAAAGTATACCATTATGAGTACTAAAGTAGTAAAGTTGTGCCGACTGTAATTAGTTACATTGCTCTCAGTTATCTCTGTGAACTATATAACACCATTCCACTATATTATGGAGATGAGGAGAGGTAGGGTGTTCTGTAGTCTTATCATAGGGCAGTGTTTCTTAACCTTTTTCAATTTGCAGCACCATTTAAAAGTACAGTAATACCTTGGTTTACAAGTAACTTGGTTTGAGAGCGTTTTGCAAGACAAGCAAACATTTCTGAAAAATTTTGCTTTGATATACAAGCAATGTCTTGCAAGAAGAGCAAAATTTTGTAGAAAAGCATCACCTGAATAAGGCTGTAGCAGTGTGAGCGATGAGTCTGTTTAACGACAATGCAATGTCACATTGGATAGATTCCTTGTTAAGGTTTCACGAAATGAAAAAGATTCAATTGAGTCAAGAGATAGCAGTGATTCCGTTACTGATAGTGAAAGTCGTCCTACGCAATAATCCTGCTCCCTCTTGTCCCTCTCACACCAGCCACTTAGGTACCGGTAATTGGTTAATTTTTCTTTATATTTTATACGTTATTATATTACAGTACAGTATTGTAATCATTTTATATGAATATTTTTGGGATGTGGAACGAATCATCGGAATTTCCATTATTTCCTATGGGGAAATTCGCTTTGATATACAAGCGCTTTGGATTACAAGCATGCTTCCGGAACGAATTATGCTCGTAAACCAAGGTATTACTGTATGCAAAATCTCCAGGCACCCAAGTTTAAAATGTAAAAAAAAGTAAATGTAAAAAATGATGTGTGGTCTCTACAAAATCCATACCAGACCCTTATCCGCAGTAGAGGTATGGCATGAATTGTAAGGGGAACCCCATGCAAAAACACAAAAAGGGGTTCCCTCTTCACATCAGTTTCCCCGCGAGAGCCGCCCTCGCGTTCCCCGCGAGAGCCGCCCTCGCGTTCCCCGCGAGAGCCCCCCTCGCGTTCCCCGCGAGAAGTCCTCTTCACAATGGAAAGGCATGATGACGTGCAAACATTTTTAGGCCCCCCTGACTGCCACAGCACTCTGTTTGAGAAAGCCTGTCCTAGGGTGACAAAGCTGCTTCTCTACATGTACAGTGAATGAGAATTGTCACTCTAGTACAGGAAGTGTGTTACTGGCAGGGTCCCCAGATGAAAATAAAGGAAGAAAAACCTGAAAAAAGAAAACGAATGCAGCCACCACATCTAAGGACGAGTAAGTTGCAATATATTACAATTTTTTGTTGTGTTTAGATGCACTTTAAGGTTGTTGACAGCACTTTGGACATATTTCTCTGCAGTTATCAGTTGTTGAGCGGTCATTGTTTTTATTTTTTATTTTTCCAGGTTGATAATTTTCTCAGTTCCTCTGATCTGGACGCAAATTCTGATGACGAGGACACAAGGCCGCATCTGCGTACGTGTTCATTGTCGTATTCTAATGTAGCTTTAAACATCTTCTTGTCTTCCTGGAAAAAAACAAACATATTTTCAATCATCAAAATATGTTTTTTGTGTCTTTTATGTTGTTTTTTCCTGTTAATTTATATTAATTCAAAGTGGAGAATTAAATATACAGAATCAATCATGTTTATGTTTTGTAAATTACAAAGTCCTTGTGGCTGCTTTTTGTTACATATATCATATATACGCCATTAAATAGAAAGGAAAAAACACTCCTAAGCCCCATTTCTGAAGTGTATGTGCTACTCGAGGTGCTCTCAAATCTACACACAGTAGTTGCTCAAGAAAGTCATTTAATAGAACTTACTACCGGTAGTCCCAGATCAGATTTCACAACCATTCAGATCATTTGAATCTCAACTGCAGTTCTTCTTTAAAGGGGTATGCCACCCGCAACAAATCACTTCCATTGATAGATGTCAAGGAGTTGAATCACCTATCGGCTTCTTTCATCTGTCAGGCACCCTGTAGTGAGACCGCCATACTCTGAGGCCTCATTCACCCAATATACTTTGTTCTGTATTCATCTGCATAAATCAGTGCAGTTGCAATGTAGGGGGGCATGAAACATGATTGAGTACCCTCTTTACACAATGAGGTTGGACTGTGTTACAGTGCACTGCATAGAAATGTAGATGTCTGTGCGGTGCGTAGACTTGAATGAAGTGGCATATTGTGACACTTCAGTTACAAGAGAACTAAAGCCAAAGTTTTTTTTTTTTGGCTTTCGTTCTCTTTTGTGTCACAGGAGTGCATTACTAATGTCCTCCTGTGACCCAGAGTCAGCATATAGCGGGCTATGGCCTGCTATATGCTGATAGTGCAGACACGTGCTGTAGCCAGGAAAGATCCTGATAATATTGTCGGGATCCATTCTGCTGCCTGATTGACAGCTGGCGCTGCCTCTCTAGAGCCAGTGTCTGCTGTGCCCGCCCCCTTCTCCTCTCTGTCTCTCCAGTGAGCGCTGGAGAAGGAATGGTAACCCAGTGCACCTTGCTAATTGTGCATTGCGGTGCACTGCCAAAAATGCTGTATGCACGATTTACAGCCAATTTAAAGCCCCATTCACACTTGCTACACATGTGAACATGCACAATGTTTTGCGTATTTTCCATGCGTCCACATATGGCACCCTCATAATTTGAATGGCCGGCCCTACACATGACAAACGTTGCAAATAAGCTCATGCAGCAGATTGAGCTGCAAGCTTTGCTTGATTCTTGACTGTGCATGTGTTGCATGTATGCAGAAACGCGTGACACATTAAGTGTTCTCTCTTTTTTAGTTGTTTGTTGTCTGTTACATGAAAATGAGCAGGGAAGTGGCAGCCCCTTATAGCTGCTGCAATGGAGGTGGAGGTCCTGGGAATTTAATCAGGATTTTAATCAGCAATATCCTTCCATAAGAATCACTGAAAGTTACAATATATAGTATGACCATAGGTTTGTGGGCCCCTGACCATCACACCTACTATATGGCCAAATGTGCATGGACGCTCCTCCAAGTTATTGCGTTCAGGAGTCCCCAGTGATGGGTGGTGTTAAAGCTACACCATGGAAATATGATCTAGAAATGCTCTTTGTAGATGCCCTTATGGTGCCATACCAGATGTCCTGTCCTTACTTGCATCAACCAAGCCGTGGTCACCGAGCCCTACAAGCACATCTGAGCCTGAAACTTGAAAAAAGAATTTGCAGATTGCATCTAGCTTGAGATGTCAATACTTGCTCAATTATCTCCCCCACATTGGCAGCAGGCACTGCATTCCTATTGCTCATTAATCACCTCCACTGAGAATGTAATTAGCAGCTTAATTAGGATCATCGGCGGCCTTGTGCGGCAGCAGCACCAGCAGCCAACTTCACGGGGCAGATACAGCCGATGCGAAAAAACCCTGCCGCCCACTCGCCCCAAGCTGCTGCCCCGCAGTGGTTATGAAGATGGAATTGTACAAAGTTGTAGAGCGGTTGTAGAGGATAAATTCAGGTCGTTCTAGCAGAGATCCCAGCGTGAGTCGGGATCAAATATTCACAAAGACCAGAGGAGCTCTCAGCGCGGGGAGAGAGGGAAGAGCCATGAGGAACTGCACTTCTATGGTTCCTAGTAATTGGACTGCATAATGAATGAGCGCCAATTAATTTCGCTGGCAGCTGGACGATTGTTTATTTGGCACGTGTAACCCGACTTGCCTCTCTGGTTAAGGAGGGTCTCCTTCTTCAAAGGTATTGAAGAAGTTATGATGACACTTCCTATATATATGACCTATGCCTTCATTCTGCGTCTTCTGGTTGAACTCGGTGGACGGTGGCTTTTCATCTTTGTAACTACATGAACCCCAAATGTGAGACCATTTGTTCTGTGCTGCCAGTACCACTCTTATTATCAAAGGATGCTCTTACATCTGCAGATGGGGCACCCCAATATTTCTAAGCAGTGTCAGGCTCACTTAGTAATTTTATTACAGGCGCCGAAAATGTATTTAGTGCTTTACATACTCTACATTCACATTAGTCCGGGTCCTCAAGGAGCTTACAGTCTAAGGTCCTTATCTCACATACTAGATCGCTAGCCAACATACTAGGTCCCTATCCCACATACTAGGTCCCTATCCCACATACTAAGGACAATTTAGACAGGAGCCCAATAACCTTCCAGCATGTCTTTGGAGTATGGGAACAAAACAGAGCACCCAGAAGTAACCCACACAGAACATGTAAACCCCATGCAGATAATGTCTTGGCCGGGATCTGACCCGAGGACCGCATTGCTGCAGACAGAGGTGCTAACCACTAAGCCACTGTGCAGCACTTTGCAACAGATATGGCTATCAGTGAGCTATTAGTTCAGTTCAGCCAGTCTTATGAGTCCCACACCGCATATGTGATGTCGCTATACACTGTTGCTGCTTCCTGTGTCACCGGCCTTGTCTGTAAACTATGGATGCGATTCACTACATGGCTGCTGTCTCTTCTTCTCCTCAGCTGCATAAACACCTCCCTCTCTAGCCCCAAGCTGCGTGCCGAAGAGCTCTGATTGGTTCACAGTGCAGGAACTTCCATTTTTAATTTGATCTGTTTTGTATTTGTTCATGTTAAGTGCAACGCTTCCTGGTATTTATCACCTCCTAATGCCTTCATATCATTTTTTGCTCTCCAGTAGGACTGAGTCATGTTTTTTTCAGGCATCATCCAGGGTCTTGATCTACTGGGAGTTAAAGCATGGGCGTATGTCATGGAAGTACAGCATAGGAGTATAGCATGAAAGTACATCATGGAAGTAAAACATGGGAAAATAGAATTTGAGAACGGCATGGGAGTACAGCATGAAAGTAGAACATGAGAGAATAGAATTGAAGAATCGGATTGGAAAACAGCATGATAGTAAAGCATGGAAGTACGGCATGGGAGTACAGCATGAGAGTACATCATGCAAGTAAAACATGGGAGAATATCATTGAAGAATGGCATGGGAGAACAGCATGAGAGTATAGCAGAGGAGTATAGCATGGAGGTATAGTATGGGAGAACAGCATGCATGGCAGAACAGCGTGGCATAACAGCAAGATTGTACAATGTAGGAGTACAGCATGGAAATAGTATTGGAGAACAGCATGGGAGTATAGCATGAGATTACAGCATGCAAGTACAGCATTAGAAAATAGCATTGAAAACCGGCATTAGAGTACAGCATGAGAATACAGCGTTCAAGTACAGTATGGGAAAACCATGTGGGATAACAGTGTGGGAGTACAGCATGGGAAAACCGTGTGGGATAACAGTATGGGAGTACAGCATGGGATAACAATATGGGAGTACAGCATGGGATAACGCTATGGCAGTACAGCATGGGAGTTCAGGCTGGAAGTACAGCATAGAAGAACAGTTTGGAAGTTCAGCCTTTGTTGCCTTATGAACCCGGCCGTGTTGGAAGGTCAGCAGTATTCAGCCAATGGGGCCCCAATTTGACCCTTGCTCAGGGCCCCGATTTATCTAAAACCTGCCCTATGGATATGTTTTAGAACAGTTGCATTCTTTTTCTGACTGTGGTCTGATGATGGACGTCTCCAATACAAATAACCTTCATTGGCGATGCCTCCATACCTGTCCTCCTCCTGATTCTTGCTGTCAGGGACATTTTGCATGTGAAGAAGATGCTTGATTAAACATTACCAGTCAGAGTGAAGGCTGCAGATTACACACTTTCATTTATTGTCACACCGGCTAAATATAGAGCGGCAATGTTCCCTGTCTGACACATCTCCCCCGGTAAACACCGGCTGATTGCTCCGCTCTTGTGGCCGTGACTGGCGCTGATCGCAAACATGTTTATGTTCTCTAACTCGGCTTCAAAAATAGCCCTGCCACTTTCCCAGGCAGCTGCTAGCCGGACGGAATTTGATGTGCAGCATTTCTGATCTGACTTCTGCTGATGCGTTCCAGGTGAAATTCTTTATTAGTATGCGCCGCCGACAGTCTCTTGTTTTAGCACTTTTGCAGAAAAATTGTCATGTGCCCTTTTTTTTTATGATGAGCAGATTTCATAAGTTGACTAGTTGCTAGCAAGCTGTGCTTTAAAGCTGAACTCCAGGCAAACCGCTAAATGCACACATCAAATATATATGTATACAGGAGATTGTTTAGCCCACCAAAGGATTTGTGTTTGTGTTAACCCAGTTCTGAGATGTACACAGCTCTGCCGCGCAGCACAGCACAGCCTGTAAGCCTTTTTCTCTGCTTTCTCTGCTGCAGTTAAGTGACACTTACAGGTCTTGTCCCTCCCCCAGCCTGATAATGGACAGTGAAAGGAGAAGCAGCAAACTGATGAGCTCATCTCTCGATCACTCTGTTCTCTCCTCCTTTTAGCATTTGCTTGTTAGCAAATGAGCACTGCAGCACAACTGACTGACCCCCTCTGGCTACTTCTTCCTTTCCCAGTCTAAGCTCTGCTTTTCAGGGGATTGTAAAAGGAGGAGGAGGCCGGGCACCAGCAGCGTTGGTCCGGCGGAGGAGGAGGCCGGGCCCCAGCGGCACCGGTCTGGTGGTGGAGGAGGCTGGGCCCCAAGCAACGACGGTCTGGTCCGGAGCTGCATTTGCAGGGAAAGGGACACCGACCAGCCCACCTGAGATCCCGCAGAGCCCACCATAGTGTTTCTCTGTGGACTGTGCAGGATACAAGGTGGGCTGTGTGGGGTATCAGGTGGGCTGGTTGGGGTCTTCGGTGAGCTCTGCAGGATCTCTGGTGGGCTCTGCGAGGCCTCAGGTGGGTCCAGTGCGTTGCTAAGTTCAGAGTCTAGTGCATTGCTAAGTCCTGACTCTAGCGCGTTGCTATGTCCAGAGTCCAATTCATATACTGTTCTGCATTGCTGTATAATGTATTTTGTAGTTCCCCTACAGCTGTTGCTGCTGTATAATGTATTTGTAGTAACCCTACAGTCGGTGCCATTCTGCATTAGAGTGTAAGCTCCTATGTACAGAGACTGATGTGACTGGCTCAGTGTTCTCTGTACAGCACTGTGGTATATGTCAAAGCTATATAAATGTATAATAATACTGTGAGACAGTGGGGGGGCATTAGAGTGTAAGCTCCTCTGGTGCATAGACCACCGGGGGGGGGTTGGGGGTCAGTGAGATCCGCTCCCGCCCCCAAGGGGCCCAACAGATAAAATCTTGCAGCAGGGCCCTTTATTTTCTTAGGTACGCCACTGATTGACGGACGCCCAACATCATCCCATCCACAACCAACCACACGTGAGCCTGGATGGACATGGACGTATGTGCTTGGGGGCGGCTCATCACAATGGCCTGGGATCACAGTACTCCTGGGCAGTCCGGCACTCACAGCTCATTACGGAAATATAGCCTTTAAAGTACTTTTAAACCCCAACTGCATAACATTTTGGGTCCCAATTCTAAAGCATTATGGCTAGGGATGCACCGATTCCGGTATTTTGGTACCGAGTACGAGTACCGTGTAATGACTCGCCACCCGGCTTCCCGATTAACGAGAAAGTCCCCTCTTACCTTAGTATGTGCAGCCTGTCACCCCCGGGGCCTCTCCAGCGAGAACGCGGCCTTTCGCGTCATTAGACAGCGCCCGGCTTCCTGATTGGACGGCTCTGGCTGGGTAGCGGACGAAGACGCATTCTCTCTGGAGAGGCCCCGGGGGTGACAAGCTGCACATACTAAGGTAAGGTAACCTTACCTCACGAGGCCAGCTTCCTGATTGGCCAGCTTCCCGACTAATCAGGAAGCCAGGCAGCGCGTCATTACACGCTGCCCGACTTCCTGATTGGCCGGGAAGTCAGCTCTATGCTCTCTCATCACAAGTGACGAGAGAGCATGGAGCCGCTTCCCGGTCAATCGCGAAACCGGGCAGCGTGTAATGACGCGCTGCCCGGCTTCCTGATACCGGAAGTACTCGTGCTAGGCATCGGAGCATTTGGGCGATACTTGCCCAAATACTCGGAATCGGCACCGATATCGATACTAGTATCGGTATTGGTGCATCCCTAATTATGACCTTACCATAGCCATACCACTGCTTCAAAGAAATGCTCTGTACTGACCATCCTCAGTGCAGTGTATGGAAGCCATTGCTTCTATGGAGTAGGGCTTGGGACCCAATGAGATAATATAACCATGCAGGTTATACAAGGACAAAAGGAGTCAAAAAGCCCACCAACCAAATCAGTGCATAGCACAGTAAAGCCTTCTTAAAATAGAAGGTATTCAGAGGTCTCATTCCATCACAGGTCCCAAAACAAAGAAGAATGTTCCTTATTTCAGGACAGTGAGTGGAGCCATACTAATCATTGCTTTACACCCCATTGGTCAGATGCTTATACAGAATGTGTCATTGCAGAGCAAATATACACATTGATGGTGTATATCCCTTTTTAAATTACGTTTTATCTTCCCCAGTATTATATCCAGGAGAAGCAGAGACTAAACTGGCCCTTGAAGTTGCGCCCGTCATAAGAAGTACAAGTTTGGACATCCAGACGTCCTTCAGGCAGCAGCCTACACCCGATGAGGTATGTAGAAAAGAGAGTATATTGTTTTACCATGAGGCTTAAGGTGAATCCAAATTTGTATACAGTAGAGGGAGTCTAGAACCTCTGTCAAGTATTTATTAGACCCAAAACGAGTCGCTGGATTCGAATTTTCGGTAAGCAAGTGCTCATTACAGCAAGGCACAGTGGTTCCGGTAGGGCTGCTCTCCAAACAACAGGACACCATTTTAAAAAGGCAAGCCAGAGCTGAGAAACCATGTGTACAAAGTCTAATGAGAGCGCCAAACAACAGGCCCAAGAGTCCAAATTCTTTTAATATTAGGATTGGTTCATAGCAGAAAAACATCCAACTCGTTTTGTAGCTCGCGATATACTGAGCTTTGGGTCACAGGAGGACGCTAGTTTGTGTCCTCCCATGACCCTTAGGAGAACCATGGGGAAAAGCACTGACCCCATAGTTCTCCTTTTAGTAAAATCCAGAATACTGTATGCTTATCACCTAATGACAGATGTGCTGAGACTACACCTGCAGAGTTCAGTAGCAATAAATCAAGTCGCTTTAGGCTACCAGGGCTTTATACATTGCTCTTTGCCTCATACAGTAAGTAACCCTGTGTGTGATACAATACTGGAACCTGGCTGCCTTTTACCCTCGCTTCTTCCTCCTCAGCATCTAGACGATGAGATCCAGCCGTTCGCTCTGGACCGAAGCTTTGATTATGACTGCGTGGCGCTGACCCCGAAAATTTCCGCGGCGGAGCTGGACTTCTTGAAAGACAGGGGGCATCAAAAGACAGAAGTCAAAGACACAGAAGAGCAAAACCTGACGGCTTCATAACGGATTTCTGCTTCAGAGGGAAAAGCAGGATGTTGTTTTAGAGCTGAACTCCGGGCAGATATAAAGGACAGCTCTGTGATCATTAATACATCAGTAAATGTTTTTGTTTTTTTCTCATTTAAGCAGTGCAAGTACATTCATTTGCTTGATGTCAACTTTTTGTAGTCCCTTTTACTGAAGAGCTTAGAGAGGGCAAGCGAGAAGCAGCACAAGGAGCCAATCAGGGATGTTGTAGTGGTGATACGAGGAGAGAGCAAAGTGACTGTCGAGCATATCAGTGTGCTGCTTTCTTTTTGCTGCCCAGTGACAGGATGGGGGTGGGGACTTGTAAGTAAAAAGTGAAACTGCAGCAAAACAAAATCAGGTCCCTTACCCTGCCAATCACGGTGTGCTGTGGAAATATCAGGACTGGATGGACATAAACGAAATCCTTTGGAAGGTAAAAGATCTCCCATATATGTGGTTCAGCTGTGACAGCCGCCAACCGCTGTCAGAATACCCAAATGGAGCTAGCAGCTGATTTTCCTCCTTCTTTGCTGCATGTCAGTGCTATAAAACTCCTGCAACCATTTCCTGTCTACATGCACTCCAGCGATGTCTGCATGGCATTTCTCCGGGTGCGTTTCCTGATGGTGACAACAGAGGACCATGCCTTTGTGGCATGTGTGGTAAAACTCTCCTGACAGCTTATGAAAGATCCCTGCGATAGATAAAGCCACCTCCTCTCCTACCTTCCCTCCACTCCATCAGTGCACCCTTCATAAGCCTCTTTCTGGGAGTGTTGGATGCCCTTGCTCCCTGTTGCGTACCATGGCTCCATCCTCCGACCCCTACATCACTGCTCTATCCTGTAGTGACATAGGGTTTGGAGGATGTAACCACAGGGGGAGACAGGCATCCAACACTCCTGGAATTGTCAAATGCCAAAGAGTTTTATGGAGGCTGCAATGCTGGAATGAATGGAAGGTATGATGCTTGTGTAGGTGAGTATAACACCTCTTCTATTGCAGGGACCTTTCCATCGCTGCACCCTTCATAAGCCTCTTTCTGGGAGTGTTGGATTCCCTTGCCCCCTGCTGCGTACCATGGCTCCATCCTCCGGCCTCTACATCACTGCTCTATCCTGTAGTGACATAGGGGTTGGAGGATGGAACCACAGAATATGGCGGGGGGACAGGCATCCAACACTCCTGGAATTGTCAACCTCGCTCACCTAACAATTGTTCATTGAGGTTGTTCATCACATAGAGGAACCGATAGTGAGGTGCAGGAGGGCACAGGCAGGGACACAGTACATGCTGGTGCCTCTAGGTTCCTGCATTTGCAGACCTCCTAGCGCAGGTCACACATCTAAGAACCATTGAGTATATAACGGAGTCCTTTAATGCAAGTCTTATTTACAGATGTGAGGAATAAAGGCACACCACGCACACGCAGCCTGTGTTTTGAGAAGAAACTGCTAAAACAGATTAAACGTAATTAGCAAGCCGAGATTTACACCGCTGCAAGCTCGCGTGATGTAATTAGCGGCTGGCGTCTTCTCAGCTTGTGTGATGTTTAGCAGACTGCCCTCGATTCAGGTTGTCAGGTGTATGTAGAAGATTCTCTGCTTGCGTTAGGTTCACGCTGTTTCGTTTGACTCCTTCTTCAGCGCGGTGAGTGATTTTGTTTTCTTTGCGTGTATGGATCTCGTATGGGAAAAGCCAGCGGGATCGCCGTCTGCTGGAGCAAAGCGTGGAGTGCACAGAGGAGCTAAGTCACGGGCTGCTAAATTGGATACTGTTGTTGACTGTCAGCTCTATTTAAACTCAATCTCTCAATTATATGTGCGGGCAGGGCAGCCATCAGAAATTTTGGGGCCCCTTTAAACGGCTTTAGGCTGGCCCCCCCCCCACCGCGCCGCTGGACGCAGGGCTTAGTGATGCGCTGGACGCAGGGCTTAGTGACGCGCTGGACGCAGGGCTTAGTGATGCGCTGGACGCAGGGCTTAGTGATGCGCTGGACCCACCTGAGAGTGACCCTGCAGAGCCCACCATAGATGCTGCACAGCCCATCTGAGACTGTCTATGGTGGGCTCTGAAGGGGTCTCAGGCCTCCTTTCCTTCCTAGCTCCTCTTACCTGCACACATGGCCTCGTTTGCCGCCTGACCGGCCAGAAGTGACGTCACATCACTAACGTGACATCACTTCCGGTCGCTGATGGGGCCCTAGTTTGTCTCAAAGCAGCTGGAGCGGCAATGCTGGGGCCCTGTGCTGCTAGGGCCAGGTCTCCGCCTCCTTGCCCTTCACCGTTGGCCGATAGTCACGTAAGGGACCAGGGTGGGCCCCCAGGCTGCCAGGGCCCCTTACATGAGTATCGGCCGTACCCCCCTGATGGCTGCCCTGTGTGCGGGTATAGTTTCAGTGATGAATCAGGCAGCTATTGTATTCCCAAATCATTCAAATATAGGTGTGCTTTTTTTTAAGGGGTCCTGACAGGTTATGAAAGTTTCCTGCGAAAAAAGAGATAAAATCACCTCCTCTCCTACCTTCAGTCCATACCATCGCTACACCCTTCATAAGCCTCTTTCTGTGAGTGTTGGATGCCCTTGCCCCCTGCTGCGTTAAATGGTTCCATCCTCCGGCTTCTACATCACTGCTCTATCCTGTAATGACATAGGGGTTGGAGGATGTAACCACAGTATGTGACAGGGGGAGACGGGCATCCAACACTCCTGGAATTGTCAAATACCAGGAGTTTTGTGGAGGCTGCAATGCTGGAATGAATGGAAGGTATGAGACTTGTGTAGGTGAGTATAACACTTCTTCTATTGCAGGGACCTTTCATCTAGATTTTTGGTAACCTGACAGGGTCCATTTATCTTATTTCCTGCTGCCCATACAGGTCCTGTGCATTTTATTTTTACCTTTCCTGACATGCTGTAGACTTGCAGAAGAGATGTGAGGGGTGACAAGAGGGCGAGACAAAAGGTGGTGGGATCTCTACAAGAATACAGTCCCGTGCGAATAATGTACTGTATCACGAAAGCGCACGGTCGTGCATTCTGGCGTGGGATTTGTGTACCCCAAATGCACCTCCCACCCACAGTTTGTACATCCGCACCAGAACGCACAGTAACCTAATGCCGTGCGTTCCCTTGCAGTGTGACTTGGGTTGCAACTTAATGACCTAGGACAAATGTGGGTCCTGAGGTTACACAGGTTGAGAAACACTGCTTTAAAGCATCCAGCGAGCTCACAAAGGAAGGTTTAGTCTCTAACAAAGGTAATCAGAGGTATCTTGTGGTACCAAACAGTGCGTAATAGAAATTAGGCATAGAGCTATAAAATATATCAGCACACTTTTTTTTTATAATGCGCAAATTGAACAATATTATACAGTGGTGGACCCCGGGGAGCTCTGGTGACTGTACCACATCCTTTGGCGCCGAGTCACAGACAAGAACTGCTCTTGCAGAAAGTGACGAGATTAATGTTGAATCTCTCGGGACACTAAAAAAATAATACAAGTTGTGCCAACTGACCTGCAATATGAGATAAAGTCAGTCAGACGTTAAACGTAGGAACGCGTTCTGTTTTATATAAAAAAAGGTTACTTTTAAGGCTCAAATTCGTCTTTTTTTTGGTCAACCAGCTGCATATTTGTTTCCTTCCCCAACTTTCATTATTTCACCATCCTTTGTGGGTTTGCCCTCTTTTATTAAATAAAATTGCTGGTCCGGCAGCTTTTTCAACTCCTGTGTACAATATAAACATGCAGGTTATGATGAAAAGAGACTAAAGCAATCAAAAAGCCTCCAACCGAATCAGTGCATAGCTCAGTAAGACCTTCTTCTAACAGAAGGTATTCACATGTTATTTCAGGACAGTGGTCAGGGCCATGCATATCATTCCTTAATGCCCCAACAGCCAGAGACACATCCAGAACCACCGGTGTATAGTACAAATATAATTATAAAACCGTTTACTCCAAACTGCATACAGCTTTTTTTTTTTTTACGTGCATCTAAAACAAACTCCCCTGTGAACAAAAAAAGTGAACCGTGAAATCACAGCACACAAAAACGTGCACAAGGGTGCTTGGTCCTTCAATAAAGAAGGGACCTCGATTCCCGATCCCCCGGGGCGCAAGGCTCCTGACAGGGGTTGAGACTGTTGGTCCACCTACCCGAAGGCAGTCGGACCCCCATCCTTCGTGGAGCTGCCGGAACAGGTCCCTCACAGTACTGGGTAGGGGGATCTCCCGAAGAGAAACCCCCTGGGTGGGAGGAGACAGAGAACCCTCAGAGGCCTTGTGCAGATAAATGCAATGTGATGTCGTGACCAAGTGCATCAGTGAGTCAAAGTGGGGTCCCACACCCAAGTGACTTTCTGATGACCCCTGGGATGCCACCCCCAGGGGGCACAACACCACGGGGTCTGCCACCCCCCAACCCTCCAGACTCGACCAAGCTTCGCATCCGTTCAGTCAGTAGGCAATAGTGCCGAGGAAACTCCCCCCTCCTCTAAAAGGGAGTCGCCTCAAGCACCTACCTTCACTCCAGAGAGTATTAAGCAACCGTCCGTCCCAAGGACAGTCCATGCTTTTCCCCTCTGAAACTGATAAGAACAGATACTACACTTGATCTTAGCCAAAAGGCCAAGAGCTGTTTAAGGCTATTTGGCCATCGGTGTATGGAAACCAGTACTTCTATGGAATATGGTTTGGGACCCAACAGGACAGTATAAGCATTCCAGTTATGGCGAGAAATGAAGAATAATCCTCTTATTTTTGGGATATATAATGGAATGAGACATGAGAATACCTTCTGTTTCAAGAAAGTTTTTACTGTGCTATGCATTAATTCAGTTCAGTTTTTGATAGCTTTAGTCCCTTCTCACCATAACCTGTATAGTTACATTGTTTCATTGGCTCCTAAGCCCTACTCCATAGAAGTCATGGTCTCCATACACTGCACTGCTGATGGCCAAATAGCCTGAAACAGGCAGGGATGAGTGAAACTGGGAACATGTGCTTGGCCGACATCTGCAAAA